GTCTGCTCCGCGTGCACTTTTTTGTTTGTGTGTTCACGGCACACATTGTGTGTTCGCGCGTGCACACATGTGCGTTCCAACTGGACACGTGTTTGTGTTCCAGGAGGACACATGTTTGTTATCAGATGAACGCGTGTGTGTGTGTGTGTGTCTGCTCCGTGTGCGCATGTATGTGTGTTCATTTGCACACATATGTGTGTTCCACATGTACACATTTGTGAGTTCATGTGTCCACACATGTTTGTTCCAATTGGACACGTGTTTGTGTTTCAGGTGAATACATGTTTGTTTTCAGATGAACGCACACGTGTGTGTGTGTTCCGGGTGCGCATATATATATAAATATGTGTGTGTTCACGTGTACACATATGTGTGTTCACGTGTACACACGGTTGTGTTCCAATTAGACACACGGTTGTGTTCCAGGAGACCACGTGTTTGTTATCAGATGAACACTCTTGTGTGTCTGTGTTTTCCGCGCGCGCATAAATGTGTGTGTGTTCACATGTGCAGTACACATGTGTGTGTTCCACGTGTGCACATGTGTGTGTGTTCACGTGTGCGCATTTGCGTCTCCCACGTGTACACATATGTGTGTTCACGTGTACACACATGCGTGTTGCAATTGGACACGTGTTTGTGTTCCAGGAGAACACATGGTTGTTATCAGATGAGCACACGGGTGTGTGTTCCGGGTGCACATATATGTGAGTGTTCACGTGTGCACATATGCGTGTTCACGTGTGCACATATGTGTGTTCCACGTGTACGCACATGTGTGTTCCAATTGGACACGGGTTTGTGTTCCAGGTGAACAGATGTGTGTTTCACGTGAACACATTAGTATGTGCTAGATGAACTTTTTTTGGCATCTGACGACATATTTGCTCTCCAGGTGTGCACATGTATGCGCTCCAGAAAACGCATGATTGTTTTCGAGGTGCGCGCATGTGTGTGCGATTTAGGTGAGCATGTATGTTTGCTCACGTGTGCGCATATGTGTGTTCCACATGTACACACATGTGTGCTTTAATCGCACACGCGGTGTTCCAGGTGGACACATGTTTGTGTTCCAGTGGTATACATATGTGTGTCCCACGCGTACACACATGTGTGCTTTAATTGCGCGTCTTTGTGTTCCCGGTGAACGCATGTGTGTTCCACGTGTACACACATGTGTGTCTGAATTGGACACGCGTTTCATTGTGTTCCAAGTGAACACACATGTGTGTTCCACGTGAACGCATTAGCGTGTCGTAAGCGAACACATATGTGCGTTCCACGTTTGCACATGTGTGTGTGTGCTTTCCAAGAAGCACATGTTTGTTTTCCAGCTCAACACATTTATGCGTGTGCCGCAGGTGAATGTATACTGTTTCAGTCGTATACGTATGTGTGTTCCACGTGTACACACAGGTGTGTCTGAATTGGACATGTGTGTTTGAACTGCCCATGTGACTGCGTGCTTGCGCGGCCACACTTGCGTTCACGCGCGCGCGCTCGCCCGCCATCGCGCGCGCTTGCCCAACCTCAGTTCTGGCGCGGTGCTGAAGCGCGAAGCACGCCAGCAACACACGTGCAGCAACGCAACGCGCGCCAGGTTCACGACTGCATCATTTTGAATCATCCGTGTTGAAGCGCAGAAAGCCACAAGCTGTTGGCATGTTTGTGCTCGCCCGTCAGCCCTCAACTGTTTGGGGTCTCTGCTGGTGTAATTTTTGGCAGGGACAAATCGAGCCCACGAACTGGAGTGCCTGGGCTACATTGTTGATTATATCAGTTGTTTCGAGCGCAGCCCATGCACTTGCTCAGGCAAATAGAAACTCGACTAGCTAAAGCTAGCTTTCGTAATGAGATTTATTTGGTCACCAACTTCTCTGTCCTGCTGCGCCTGTGCCGGGCTGGCCGCATAGCTTGCAGCGTCCACCTCGACTCGGGGCAGCAGCTGAGAGTCCCAGCAAACGAAGAACTCGTCGCCGTCCAGGTCGCCGCCTGGAACCGCGCTTCAGGCGTGTCACGTCGGTTCCGGGGGTCAAAAGGTGGTGTCATGTAGGAAAGGGAAGGGGCAACGCGGTGGCATTTCATACCTGGGTTGTCAAATTTATGAACCCTTTTGCCGCCCACCCCCCCCCCATCCTCAAAGGCGGTACAAAACGTCCCAGAATGCCAAAAAGAGGCGACAACCTTGATGTGCATGATGGTGGCCCGAAGGACAACAAGGGCAATAGAGGGACAAACGACAAGGTGCTGCACAGGTGGTAAAATATGGATGGATGCATGGATAAATAGCTGGATGGTACGGATGCCTGGGCTTTGCAGCAAACTGTTGGGGCCGCCATCATTCCCCTGTCAACATCCTTAGTGCTTGGAAGTGGAGTATGCCACGAGAAGGGATGATGCGAGTGTGAGGGATGAACCCTTGGAATCAAAACAATGTCCAACACCTTTGCAAGAACCCCCGGACTTGTGTCGGGCTTTCCAAACATGCTCGTGGACCTGAAGCTGGAGTCTGACGCGCAAGCTTTGCCTGACTTCCCTTGCAGGGCTATGGCAATTGCAACCACCTCGGTGACACTGCTGGAATCAGCCTTCCCGATGGCCAACTCTTCACTTGGAGATTCCTGAAAGGTGTCACAGAAGTTGTTGAATCAACCATCATTCTCGGACCCCAAAACGCTTGTGTGTCCTCTCTCAGTTTCTGTTTTAAAACCATCTCCTTGCCATACGCGGTCTCATTTTTACGGGCGTGGGAAGTTTCCGCTATGCAGCTGAGGGACTCATCCTGGCAATCATTCTGCAGCCGAGAAGAGTTGAGCTGTTTGATTTCGGGCTGCGTCTATAAACTAATGTATTCATGCAGGCGAACGGTTCATTTTTTGCAAAAAGAATCATCTCTCATGCGAACTCAGCTTCTTCCTGTTTTTACGTTGTCGTTGCTCTGCCATGAGGCCGAAACCTAGCTGTTTTCAAATTTCACGTGAGCCATTCACTGTCAATGTGCACGAGCTCACGGCCCCTCAACGGTCCATGGTTTCCCTCCGACAGATGAACATGAACCCCAAAAACCGACATTCTCGCAGGAGTCTCCTTTCGGGTTCCACTGGCTTGGTGCGGGTGAAAGCCAAGCCCCTGCCTTGCATCTCGTCCGCGTGAGGCCGTGGCCCGGTGGTTGGGAAGACCACCACGTCCCGCAGAACCTCCAGCTGGCGCTCCACCAGCTGCGCTCGAGATTGCGCTCGGCTGATGAGGACGGAGCGGGTCGCCCTGCGCTCAAGCTCGTCCTTTTCTTGCTCTCTTCTTTTTGGGGGACCGGTTCAATCCAGTCAGCCACTTTGGGAATTGTGGGTAATCTGTTTCCATGCCCAAGAGACGGGCGTCCCAAAGTTGTGGACCTGCTTTTGGATGCGTTTCTTTGTCCACCTGAACGGCTTGCCCCCAAAATGGAATCGATTTCTCTTTGGTCTGGTGGAAAAGGAAAAGGAAAAGGAAAACCCTGAAGTTCCCCTTTTATCATCACCCCAACCAAGGGAAACTCACTTTTTGTGGCTCAAAGTATCATGTTTAAAGCAAGCAAGGGAAATAGAGCTGGAGCCCTGCCATGCCGTCTGAGATGGCTCCGTTTTCTGGGCCTCCGCCTTCCCGCTTCCCCGGGCAAAGGCCGAGGCCTCCGCAGCAGGCGGATGTCCCCAGGGTGGTAGCAGGGGCTTCGAGTGACCAAGACTTGCGACGGCAGCTCCTCAAGGGTCTCAAAAAAGATCCACGGTTTGTTGAAACACATGTCAAGGGTAAAAGGTTTCCTCTTGGTTTCTTTCTGATCTGGTGGAAAAGGCTTCCTGTCCTCGCTTTCCACCTCCAGCCAGCATTCCCCCGGCTGCAGTGTGCCAGTGGTGTCGGCGACGCCAAAGAGCAACCTTGCGACCAAAGGACAGGCCCCCCATTCCCGTCCACTGTCCCTTGGACGATTCAGAAACCACTTCCAAAGGACCGATCCAAAATTGTTTTGGATAAACTCACATGCTGGTTGGCCAAACCGATTCTGTTCCAATGCGACCAACAAAAAAGCAGGATTCGCCCCCTCTGCGAGGACCAAGTGACCGAGACTTCTGGATGGGGATGCGGAGCTTGCGCTCCTCGCGCCAGGCAGGGGTCAATCTGTTTAAACCATATTTAAACACCTGGTTGAAACATCCCAATGTTTCCTTCTGAAGGGGGCCACGACAACGAAATCGATCAAGCGCCCTGCCTCTGGCTCCCGCGTCATTTTCTTCAGCTCGCTCTGCAAAGCATCCTTCAGGGCTCTCTGCGCGGCTCGCGCGTCGCACTCCACGAGTTTCTGGACCTCTGCGGGCCGCTTGGCCAGCAGCAGCACCTAGTTGACGCGAATCTAGCTGGGAGACACATTAGGATGCTGGCTGGGAGCCTAGGTAAGCTCTCCATATATATATATATATATATATCTTCAAATTACTGCAGCTAATGCCAAATAAGCAGCTGCAACGAAAGGGGCCTGCTTTGACTTCATTTAAGAGCCTGGCGTCCTGCTCTGCCCTTGCAAAAGGCATCTGGCATACTTCGTGGTCTGCCGTTTCGTTTATTCAACTATCCTTGTTTGATTTGCAATGTGAGCGAAGTCCGTTGGAACTACTCAAGCCGCTTGAGATTTGCCTCGGCCGGGAAGCGGTCAGCCCATGTCGCGGTGCCCCAGCCCTCTAAAGCGAGCCCCTGAAATGGAAAGATCCGGCAGGATATCGTCGGGATCAGTGCACACATATGTGTGCTAAGTATGTTTGCTTGCGCGCGCTTGTGTGTGTGTGTGTGTCTGTGTCTGTGTGTGTGCGTGTCTGTGCTTGCGGGTCTGCACAACCCTCATCCAGCTGCCCAAGCTCCCATGAAGCGTGAGCCCCGACTCAGGCCAGCCTTCCTTCTCCAAATATAGGTCTCAAAGCCCTGACCGGCTGGGGTTTGGGTTGCCCTGTAGAAGAAGAAAAACCACCCATCAACCCGCCTCAGAACATTGGCAGCGTCAAGGACTGCCCTTCAGGCAACTGCCCCCAACCCGCCCCAGACCTTGGCGTTGGACACTTCAAAAGAATAATGGCCGAGGCGAGCAGCGCAAAGCGTCTGCAATATCTTAAATGAACACCATCATGTACTCCGAGAGTTAAGGGTCTGAAAAGAAAAATCAAAACCCTTCAAGTCGTGTTACTAATCTTAAACGGCTTAGGACCCGTTCTGTTTGATGTCAATCATGGTCCAGTTGGCTTCCCCAACTCAACTCTCCACAAATCCTCTAAATGGACATCAGGAACCACCAAGCTTTTTTCGGGCGTGCCTTGCCTCCAGCGCGGCTTCGGGATCCCCTTGGAAGGCCCGGCGCCATCTCCGGAAGTACTCCAGCTGCCGTGCCTCGAAGACCTGCGACGGGACCTGCCAGGAGCTTTGGGCTTCCGCCAAAACCCTGGGCTCTTCTACGTTCTCCAGGATTCTCAGGATGCGTTTTGAGGTGTGGAAAAAAACACATGGGTTGCAAGAGGGGGGAAGAAATTGTAGGTTCGCCCGGAAAGGTTACCTCAATTTTGGCCCCCTCAGCTGGTTGAACGATTCGTGAAGGGTTAGAAAGGTCTCCTCAGTTGATTTAAACCAAACCTGAAAGGTCCCCTTCAAAAAGAACAAGACGACCAATCTTTGAACAAGATTGAAACATGCTGTTGTGACATGTTCAAAGCTCCCCTTCAAAGGAAAACCAAAATAGGTTTATATTTGAACAACATCTTAGGGGAAGCCGTCATCCCTCCTAATTCTTCAGTCTGCATTGTGTTGCAACATGCTTAAATAGGAAGTTGGCATAAACCCCTGCCTGCAAGGAAGCCAGGATGATCACGGAAAATTTGTTCAGTGCTCCGTACCTCAGGCGGAAAAGCCACTCCCAAACCAACTGGAAAATGGTATTGGATATAACCTTGATGTAGCTGTACAGCGGTCATGCAAGCTCCATACCCGACTCTTTTTTGGGAGGAGGAGTAGCAGTCTTAGGCCTTGCGCGAAGGGGCCGCTGTGGTCCAATAGCAAAATCAATGTGGTGGTGCTGAAGTGGAGGGTGCGTATTTCTCAAAAGCTAGCTACCAGCCGGTTTCCAGCATCAGATATCAAGCAGCTAAGGCACTGATAGGGCTTGCTGTAGTCAACCACCCCGAATGCCAGCCCCATCCGTCCCGAATCACCAGATTGGAATCGGAATTTGCGCTGGCTGGGTCGCATTTTCACCACCTCCGCGTCACGCTCGTTCAGACCCGGATCTTCCACCACCATACCCTTGTATCCTTTGAAGCGGATTTGAAAGGTGCTTGGTCTGTATCGGGCACACGTCATCGGGTCCATGATGGTCAGCGAACGCGCGATTCGCTTTCCAAACGCAGTGCTTAAGCGGCCACAACCATCTGTGAAGCAAAAGCCATTACCTCGCGGGCTGTTGACAGGTGCCAAAAACCTCTCTTGAGGCACAATTCTATCCTTTTTCACCACCATAGCACCTCTGAATTGACCAACAGCTGCTGGTGGACTGGGAAAAAAAGAAAGAAGATATGTGTTGGCGGTGCCACAACAAACGGTCACACCAAAGACTGACCAGTGCGTCGGGATGAAGGTCCGCTGCTTCCCACACCATGCAGTATGCATATCGACCCGCTGTAAGCTCAAGGCACCCAAACAGCTCATACAACAGGTTCGTTCTAGATTCTGGTTTCAAACCAAAGCGCCCCTTTGAGAGGTGGATGTGACCCAGAAGTGGCCGCATTTTGATGTTCACGCAGCTTGCCAAACGCACATATATGATTTTCCGAAGCCACTGCAATCCCCTCTCCAAAGCCATGTGTGAAGTTGAGAGGTGGCATCCATGTTGTACTCTGCGCCAACTTCAGATGAATGTAGCAGAGGTGGTCCTTCTGCTAACCTATTCATTCTTCGGATTAGTACAAATGGCCTTTCCTGAATTGGTGTTTCCTTCCCGCATTTCAAGCCCAGATTCACAGTGAACTCTGCCAAGTTATCCACCCGCTGAGTGAACACATGCTGCGCTTGACAGCCAGACCCACACATAGAAACCCTCAAACGGCAAGAGTACGCACTCACAGCTGTTTCCCAGAGGCTCCGGTTCACAAAGGGATCGTTGCACATTTCGTTCTCAACTCGCCAACAAACATCACGCCCTGCCAGCTACATCCCAAGAGGAAAACAGGTAACTAGTACCACAATTGAAATGCCAGGGGTAACTCTCCACTCTGTGCGCATGTTCCGGCCCTCTTGAACAGGGTTGTGGTAGCGACAAATCGAGGGCTTGTTTTCTCGAACGAGAAAGCAGAGCCTGTAAAAAGCCAAAGTCTTAAGAATGTTGATGCGGCCATCCCTTTCCAACACACCAATGGTATTCTACAACGCTACACGGAAAAACCAGAAGCCTTACAAGGTAACAGAACGCACGACAGTTCAGCAGCGCCACACGGATTGCACACTCTCAGACACGAACGCAAGTTTCGTCACTTGCTCTGTGGCAAGGTCGCAAGTCCGTTCTTATGCAGTTGAGCTGTCCGAATGCCTGACCAACAAGATGAAGTAACAACTGGCCTTCTCCATCTTTTGCGCTTCTTCGCAGCGGCCGCCTTGGTCCCTGCTGATGAGATTGCACATGAACCTCCAAACTTTAACCACACCGCCGTCTTCCTGGGTTTGGGTTTGGTCTTGGTTTGAGGTTGGTTTAGGGTTGATTGTCACAACCTTGCTCTTGAAGGCGGAGCTCTCAAAATGGTGGACCCCTAAAATTAGGGCGCGTTTCCTTTAGTTCTGTTTGTTTTCGAGCACTTTCCCATTCTTAGAAACTCCGTCCGGCCGAGCGGCGCTCCACATCCTCATCGTTCTCCTCCAAAGTCATTGAAGGGGGGCGATGTGAGTCATGATTACAATTCCCACGGTATGACTGTAACGTTTCTCCCTATCGGCAAGAGGCTTTCCACAGCATGTGTCGACCCTCTTGGCAAACATCCCTCACAATCAACACCCTCTCGGCACACCCTTTCTGAGTCATCTTTGTGGGGTAGCCCTGGATTGTCCACATAGATCTTAAGTCATGTCCAATATCACCTATCAGTAGTCGGCGTGGATTTTGACGATGGCTTCCATATCACAGAAGCCGTGAACTGGATTGGTCTCACGGACCCCTGCAAAAAGTCAAGCGTCTGGTTTCCATACCAAAGAACAACCACAGTGAATGCCATCCGGAATCATATGGCATACCGGAAAAGGACATCCATCCCCCCTCGGGGATTGAGAAGATATCCGAAATTAAAAACCTTAATAGTGTGCCCAAGCCTTCCCCTTCAATTAGACAACCATTCCACTAGTTTCTGAAAATGAGGACCTCGTTTTGGATGAATTTAAAGAGAAGCTAAAAGAAACCCATGCTCAGGGTCCGCAAATTCATTTTCGGATTCACGCGCAACCTCCAAAAATCGCACTTTCAGAGGCAGCTCCTTTCGGGTGACCCTCGTGTTCATTGGGAGGGGATAATTTTCCGAAACGCCCGTCTCCTCCCGAAAGCCTTCGGGGATGGTCACTACATTGGCGATGCTGCTGAAGAGTAGACCGACTCTCTTGGCACGCTTCGCCGCCGGGTGGATGATCCGAAAAAAGCCGACCTGACCATGTTCCAAAAGGTACTCTCAACAGATCAACATGGAGCCCAAAAATGGGGTCACCCAAAAAGCAGGCTCCTCTACAAAATGAGTGTGTTTGGGGTTCCATGTTGGAGAGCAACAAGCCGTACCCCAATCTGTATCGAATTGCTACCGCATGCTTCATCAAACTAGAGTTGTCGGCAACGTTGCGCGGTTTCTGACGGCACGCAGCTCAAACATACTAGATGGGACGCCCCTCAGAATGGCGGCAGCACATGGCACCTTTTCAAAGTTGGTCTCTGAATTCACGGAAACTCGGACCATGAAATCAGGCATCCTCGATCCGACATCGAGGCCACTGTTTACTGTAAACTCCCTGAACAAGGCCGGTGTCACACCAAACTAGACTTCTTCCAGTTTTTGGCACTGACCTTGTTCTTGTGCACTACTGTGCAAGGTACTGATGGAAGTCGGGACGCTGCTTTTGTAGATCCACCCCTGCAAGGTATTAAAAGACTACTAAAGGAGTACTAAAAAAGCACCAACAGCGGGAACTTCTTGAGACAAAGGCGCATCCAAACGGCTTTCTAGATTACGGCGCAGGCAGGCGTCCCGTCGCAGCCCTTTGCACAGCGGGCGGACGAACAATGTCGGTCTGCGCGCCTAGAGGCTTCTCCAAATAGACCACGGACTCCCTTTTGGTTGCTGAAAAGCAAACCAAAAGAAACGAACCCATGTTGTTAAGTACCAGTACCCACAGCTGGATCGTGTATCCCCAATTGCAAGTGGAATGGGGCTCCATCGTTTTGCAAAAAAGGGGTAAGCCAACTAATCAAAGGACACCAAACCCCTTTCAGGCCTCCGGTTAAATGCTCTTGACCCTTTTGGGGGGGGCTGCAAAAAATCCAACCTCTTTTGCTTGCAAGGGAAGCGGCACGAGACTCGTTTCAGCAAGGCTTGGACTGTGGCTCACCTGAACCGGCCTGACAAATAGCAAGCCCTGGTCGACGAGTTCAGGGCTGCCGCTATGAAGGAAAACCAGCGACATAGGAATCAAGACCTCATTTGCAAGACCTGACAACGTCAACAAGAGTTTGTTTGCTTCCCTTGTCAGTGGACCCTTGATTCTCTGGGCTTACATAACCCCTGTGTATGAAGTACTGCTTCTCTTGTTTGACCACCATCAAACGCTAGGATCCGGCACATGGCAGGGCCCATTCAATTGGCAAGGGGACTGTCTGCGAGTTGAACTGGCTTGCGGGACACCTAAAGCTACTTGTGTCAAAGGACCGCAGAGCGAAGAGCCGGCCTTGTCCAAGACATCCTCGTTGTCTTCCAATGATCCTTGGTACAACCTTGGCAGAAGGACGATATCGGGATGTCTCGAAGCTCATTAGGGACCCCTTGTTTGGCAGGTTTCAAAAAGAAACCGAAGCAAAAAGGCAAAGGGTTCCTTCTTTTGAGATGCTCCAAGATTAGCTGGGGTTGACATCCTACCCTCTCCACCCAGCGAGGGTGAAGGTTCAACAACTCCACCAAGAAACCAGCAGGTCTTGGACCTCAACTGGCTGTTCGAATGCCCGATGAACCGAAACACGCGGTCGCCAATCTGCACCCCGCGCACCAGGATCTTCACGATGTCCCGGGGTGACACGCCCTGGAAGGAGATGAGGCAAAAGCCATCCACGCCGAACTCTTCCAGCATTCCTCGTAACTCCATGCGAGCTCTAAAGGCCTGTCAGACTCCCAAACAGACTCAAGAAGGGGCCAACTTTCTCAGTGTCCAAACCGAGGGTGACAAACTGCTTAAACCATTGGAAAGAGGTCCATCAGTCGCACGCCTGTGCCCCAACCCCCAACAACAACAAAAATATCGGGAACGATGGCACACGATTAGAGAACAAAGAAATACCTCCTTGCAAATCCTGTGATGTCCTTGCCTCCCTTTCCACAGCTTACAAGGTGGTCTTCTTGCAGTGCTTTAGCACAAGGTATTCCGATGCTTCAAACAACTTCAACTCAAACACAAACGAAAACTGATCCAGTTTGCTCGGCCAAAAGGCCAAAAGGCTGCTAGAGTTCCAGGTCAGCAATGCTCCCACGGGTGGTGAAAAACAACAACTCCACGGATTGTTGGTGTGATACCAAAGTAAGCGGTCACGACGAACCGAAAAGGCTCGGATCTCCCCTGCGCATCGTGGCCCGTGGCGGGGGGCCAGGAAAAAGTGGTCAGTGACAGGAAGCGGTTTACTGAAACAAAACAGGAAAGGGGCGTTGAGTCGTTAAGCTTCCTTTGGGTTTCCTTTCAACCAGGGTCAAGCCCAAGGATCCGGCTTGAGAAGCCCAGCTGAACTTCCCAACCGCCAAGTAGTTCACCCAAAGTTGCCTGAGTTCCGCCCAGAGGGTTTCTCAAAATGGGAACCTTTTTGGATGCAAAGGGAAAGCAAAAGGAAACTTGACCGATGCTTTTTGGGTGTTCAAAAGGAGAATGAAACCGCAATCTGGATTGAAAGCTTGAGGACTTTGGGGATTTTGATTTGGCTAATGGTACTCACGGAATAGACTCCACCAAAGCAAACCTACTTTGCGAATCGGGCGAGCAGCTAGGAGAAACCACTCCGGGAAACGTTTTTTGCCCCCAGCTTTGTGCTTGGCTGCGATTTGTCTCGACTGCTTCCCAGGTCGGCTCCGAAAACGCAGGCTCATCTGCATCCTGCATCCAGCAATCTCAGGCCAGTTTGCTTCGTGATCTGCTTAATTGAAACCCTACGGCAAAATCCCGAAAGAGCGTGATGGAAGTGCCGTGCAGAGCGGTGCAAGTAACTTTACTGCTGTTTCAAGTTACTCCTCAAGGTCAGTAGTTGCCATCTTGTGAACCTGAATGTTTCATTCACCCAGCACACATGGGCTACATTCGCTAAGTTTCAGCATTTGTCAGTAGCTGTGTTCAAGCTCGGGACCCAGCATTTATTATCTTACTAACTTTCGCTTTCACGGCATTGCATTTTACCTGTCGCACCAACATGTCCACAACATGTAGCCCCTATGTACACAGTTTCCCGCGTAAACTGAAATACGACTTCACCAGCACGTATAGAACAAACCTTCTGCGGACGCAAGCAACTTTTCGGTCGTGGCTCGACCAAGGAAACTCGAGTTCAGGGATGCTCAATGAAGCTGAATTGGGCTCTTCTTTGTTCGGCACATAAGAACCAGGGTCGCCAAATTTGCCGATGGCCAACACCGACGTCAAAATCGCTTCGCTATGATCGGGAGAGAGTGTAACTGGCTGAACTGCCCAGCCCAAGGTTTCCAGAAGGTTTGCTCTTTCATTGGGGGTTTGTGGAGATCCCGAACAGGCCGCATCCTATGCCGTCCCAGGGGCACCTGGGATTTTGTGGCCGTGGTTCGCAGCACCTGCCAGCGGTCACTGCGGCGCAAATTTTTCGGCAGCTGCAGCTGCACGTAGGGTGCTGGCTCAGGCACTCCAACGTGCGACATGGCGCATGATCCTTTTGCAGATGGATCCTCTGTGTCGATGTGCTTTGATACATCATCCAAAGCGCTCAAGCTGATGTTGAGCACATGGCTGTAAGAGAGACATCAACCCCTGGCCTGTTCTGTACGACATAAGCGCTCTCAGACTTGCGAAGCCTGCCTCAGGTGTGTCTGGGTCCGGAACCAGGCATCCTACTTTACCACTCAAAGTTCCCTCCTTTGCTCACGCTCGAAAGCAATATATAAAAATATGTGTGTATATATGGCTGTGGCTCACAAAACCCGGTACCAAAATGGAACCCTGGTAAGTGGAAACATGGACCAAAACCTGCGTAACCCCTCCTGTTTAATTTTGAGCCACGCCCATGTATGTATATATATATATATCAGCACGCCCACGCGAACCGTGTTGTTCATGTAAAGGGGCATTTACCCACACACGCTTCGCAAAGGATTGCTAACACCATCTGCCCCAGAAATCAAAAGGCGATGCGCAAAAGATTCGTGTCAATGTTGACTTTTGTGAGTCAAGTTCTCGCCTCTGTGTTGTAAACCAAGGAACTGCAACCTTGCGATTCATTTGGACAATAGTGTTGGGCATAACTCATGGATATGGCAATGTCCCAGCACTCGATGTGGGCAAAGGATATTCTAGAGCAAAGCAATTTGCGCCGCACTTTTCTGCTGGACTCCTTTTGCGCTGGCAGTCATGGCGTGTCTGCGGCTCCGGGGCTCAGTTGGCAAAATGCGGTGCTGTTCCATGATGTTGCTGACTCGGGGTTCCCGACATGCGACAGGACCCCTTTTGGATGATTGTGCAGGGAAACCGACGTGAGGCAAGCCCATTTGTAGAGGTCCAACTTCAACTTTGAGAAACACCCTTTGCGATGGGGCGACCTATGTTGAGGATTGAGGTTAGTGAGGTCATGGGCGATCACAAGCATTTCAACCAGGCACACCTTCCAAAACCAGAAACTTCAAGTCAAGGGTTGTCGTTTCATGGAAAGCAATTCTAGCTTGGTACTCTCAATTGGACTATGTTGATACCAAAACAGAGATGTACATCTACCTTGTTTGATTCAGAGACCAGTTTGGGGCCAGTTTGTCACTTGAGCAGAAGGACGCACGAAGGAGAGAGTACAGCAGCAAACAAAGTTCTAGCCAGTCATGGGCTGGCTTGAGTGTAAAGCAAGAAGCTCCAAAAAGGAGCCAACAGGGTCAAAAGCAAGGTACAAATGGAATCGAAGTAGGGTGGGGTTGGGGACGAAACTTGAAGATGTCAAGGTTGAGAACAAAGCAACAAAAGTTGCATTTTTAAATCTTAACCGTCATGAAATTTAGAGGGAAACGCCACCATCTCGACAATTTGGAAGCCAGCAAAAAATCGTTTACGAGACCAAAAATCTGAAATGCGTTGCGAAAGCCGAAAACACAAAATTGCCAGTGTTCCCCTTGGATTGAGGCGAAATGTTGGCAGGAAGGAAATGGATGTTTTAAGCTTACGAGGGAGCTAAGCGGTTGAGGCTGGAGATGAAAATTGCAAAATGTTAAGGCTCATCCAACGACAACACGGCAAAGAATGTAATGTTTGATTCTTGAGAAAGTCATGACATTTGGAGGCAAGGTCTACCGTCTCGAGAATGCGGAAACCACCACAAATCGCGCACGAGACTTTAAAACTCATACGTAGCGCGAACGCACAAAGCAAAAAAAACTGTTGCCCATTGCATTCAGCCAGAAATGCTGGTAGGAGACATGAGAGGTGCAAACAGAATGAAACCGTAACACGAGGATGAAAGTGGACAATGCCAAGGGCATCCAACCACAAAACACAGCAACAAATGCAACTTTAACAAATAGAAAATCGAAAGACTTAGGGGGAACATGCATGATCTGGAGAATTTGAAAACGACCCAAAATCGCTCACGAGACCCTCAAGCTAACACGTGGCGCGAAACCCACAACAAAGACAAATTGTGCAAGAGCTCCCCCTTGCATTGAGCCAACATGTTGGGAAAGTGAATAGAAGCATACAAGGGATTCAAGCGCTTGGGTCGGCTGAAGCTTAAAGATGTCAAGGGGCACCCAGCGACAACATGCGACAACACGGCAAACAATGCGCAATGTCCTAAGTGTGAAAGCGGAGACGGCGAACATCATCTCGAGCACTTGGAAATGAAATGTGGCGCGAATCCCAACAAAACAATCGCGAGAGTTTCCCCTTGCATTGAGCCAAACTGTTGGTAGGAAGTATGAAAGGCACAAAAGGAATTGAAGCATATAAGTGGGGTTGAGGATGAAACTGCAACATGCCAACAGGGATCCAACAACAACAACAGTTGTAACAAAAATGCAATTTTCATTTGTTGAAGGTCGACCAAATTAGAGGGAAGCTGTATCATCGCAAGAATTGGGAGACCTCCAAAAAATCATTTACGAGACCCTCAAACTTAAATGTGGCATGAGCCCAAAACAATACATGGTTTGTTGTATTCAGCCAACTGTTGGTAGGACCTGTGAAAGTTAGAAATGAGCTTCAAGCATATATGGGAGCACTTGACACAGCCAAAATTGCTATTTTTACAAGTCAAGAAATTCAGAGTACCAATCAGAGGGACACCAAGAAGGCAACAGGACATCACCAAAAAAGCGCAACAGGCACACCAACGGGACACCACCAGAAGGGCACCACAAAACAAATGGAACACCACTGGAACACAGGACGCCATCAAAAACACAAGTGGACACCAACAGGACACCACAAAACCACCAGCACCAGGGACACGACTGGGACACGACTGGGACACCACCGGAACTCCAGCACCAAAGCACCGCTGGAACACCACCACCGTCTGGACACCACTGGGACACCACCAACACAGCATTAAAACACAACCATAACACTACTGGGATACCACCAAAACACAACCCACCACCAAAACACCGCCTTGCATTGACAGGATTGAAAGGTGCAAACGGAATGAAAGCTGAAAAGCGGGGTTGGGGATGAAAGTGGAGGTACTGAAGGAATTGACGCACATCAGTGGGGTTGGGGATGAAAGCGGAGCGAGCGGGAAAAAAAAGAAAGAGCAAAAAAAGGGGTTGACTTCAAACACAAGAGCAAAAGCGGTGTGAAAAGCGGAGCGAAGTGTGGAGATACCCGACAAATTGGGGGGGAGGAGGAAGGGCTACCTTTCGTGAATCTGGATCTGAGTTATGAGCAGAATCTAGCTGACAGTACCCGGCTTGTGGGACAAACTGAGCAGTTGGTCCAGTCCCGATTGGGAAACCCTAATCAACTTATGGCTACTGACTCCATGAAGTATCCCGCTTAGTCGCTCAGCCTCACCCTTGTGTCCTTGTGCGCTCGCATTAGCTGGACAAAACGTCGACCCACAAGCCACCATTCAGAACCTCGTGGGCAGCGAAAAAGGCTGTATTCCCAAATATGCTCAAGTTGCCCCCGCAATGTTGAAATGTGTAACCATGTCTCATAAGCCCTCGGCTGTTTGGGACTGCTAAGGAAAAACACACTGTGTGTTCATTGTTCCCGAAACAACGGCGAATGCGGGTCATTCCAGGGATACTGCGATGGAAGAGGCATTGTTGCACAACCCGAAGATCTGTCAGTGCTAGGCTTGCTGCTCACGAGGACTCGCTGAATGTGAAGGTCGTTTGCACAGCCCCCAGCCTTTCTCTGCATTCCAGAAAGAACCGGAGGGAGCGGATGTATGCGTTTATTTTCTGACATCAGGGTACGGTTGATTCCCTCCAGCACGCAAGTAAACCAACCAAGAAAACACGAAAAGGTGTACGAGTCTCCAATTTGCTTGCTAATTGCTGTGAAGAATCAACCGTAACGTAGGTTCGCTGAGAAGGCCTGGAGATGCTGGAGGCACTGTGGAAAGTGCAGGAGCAGCCTTTGCAACTCTGGAATGCTACCATGACCGGAGTCATAGGCTAGCACGGCGCAGTGCGAGTAGCCCATGACATCTTTGGCATTGACACTTCATTCCGGCAGGACTCGTGATCCAGGCCATTCGCTTAGCTTCGCGAGGGCACTTGTGGCAAAAGCCACACTGACAAATCTCGCAGGCGAACACAACCAAATACTACGTACAACTAACCGTGCGCGATATGGGAATTACGATAGATTATGTTTTATATGACTGTTTCTCAAAAACATGATTGGATCGCCAAAATTGATGAGCTCTTTTTGGGTTCCCTTTGAAATGGGTCCCTTACTCATTTTGATTGAAACCCCATATGGAATCAAGACAACATGTTGTGCAGAAGGCACGAGAGCTGTGACCTTTTGCACAGCACAGTTGAGCAGTCGAAGCCTGACAAGGAATCGGTTCCCACAGCTGGGAAAGAATCACGCGGATATCGGGAACCCTGTTGATTGAGCAGAACCCCTGATGGATTCATGCCAGAGCGCATCTCCTTTCAGATTACAATCACTTTTGGGGGGAACTACCCTATTAATCCGACGGGTATTCTCAAATCCGTGGTCGACATTTTGTTGTCGAGATAGCCCCAGGTTTGATTGTGGCTCAGATTGAACCCGGAGGTTTTGCCGGACGCTTTCTTTTGTCGCCTGGATTGGGCCGTTCGCGAGGCCAAGTGAGCCGGTTTAAAACACTTCCGTGGTGAGGACCAGTGGCAAGTAGTGGCAAGAAATGCGGCATCGGAAAGGTTGGGGTGAATACCTGCAAGCCTCAGGATGCACTTAAAGGAACAAAAACGTCCATTTCCGCGTCTTTGGCGCATTGAAGTTTGGCCACGTTCTTTGACACATCGCCAGAGAGTTTACTCTCACGCAGGTCCGATGGATCACTGACCAACAAATCCAATCTCTTTGCAGCAGAGCCGCAATTGTTGTTGTCAAGAGGCAGGAGTGCACGGTTCAACACCAAACACACACCACCATCCTTAACATCTCCCGCAGACGCGTCATGTTTCCCCGAGCAACAAACAGTTCCTCCTCCCAACTTGGCAAGTCACCGAACACTGGCCCTTTCCAAAGCTCAATGCTCAAAGGGCCTTTGACCATCTTGCATTGGCCCAAGGCTCAAAGCTGCGACTTTCAAATGAAAAGCTGCGCGACTTTCGAGGGCTCCTCCTTTCGCGCGGAGCACTCTCTGTAGCTGACCCCCGCTCTCTGAAGGACTCGCCTGAGCCGCACGCAGCTCGCTGGGACACGCAGGCACACTACGCGTCCCCTCCAAACAACACCCCAACTCACAAATCAATTTGGCAACCGAAAGGTGATCTTGTTAAACCAGCGAAAGGGGAAACAAAGCTGTACCCCTGGGGGGTTCAATCAAAATGTGTTTGGGGACTTCTTGCTTGGATGGCTTTCAAAGGGAAAACAAGAGAAACCTGAGCCGTTTTGAGGGGTCCAATTCCAACTTTGCTCCCTTGACAGTGCCGAACTGTCTTGCGAAAACCAACAAAGTAACATTTATCCCAGCCGGGGAACCTATTTGAAACCCACATCTGGGCGGCCAAAGTTAGTTGGGTCAAGTCCCTCTTTAACGGTCTACGACCATCCCTGACTCCAAGTAATTGTTTCGAGCATGGCACATACCATATGGTAGTTTGGTAAGGGGGCCTAACAAAAATGAACCTCGTAATAGTTTCCCCTTAGAAGTATCCAAACAGGGTCCCCAAACCCATTTTGAGAAGCCAGAATTTGCATGGGAGTATCGAAGTGAGTCATAATCAAGCCTGGTATTAAAAAGTCAATCCCCACACCAATTCACGGGTTTGGATGGCTCAAGTGGAGTCGCCTGAAGGCCTGGAACAAGGCTTCCAGGTCCTGTGGGCTGGACTGCATTCGGGTGCCATCGTTCTTGCACAGGGTCGGGTCGGGCATGAGGAGCAAAAAGCTGGTCTTCTCATAGAGCTCTTTCCTGGAACTGTCTCAAAATGGTCACATTCAGAGGCTCGATCCACGAGACAGGGATTTCAAAATATCAGGCTTGGCTTTCCAGAGCTGACTGGGTCAGTGAAATGACCTGCTTTCCTGTCTGCGTCTTGCTTGGTTTCCGCTTGTCTGTTGTTGTTTTGTGTTTGTGACTTGTTCATGTTGATGATCTGCGCTGTGCATCCTGACACCCCTGCAGACCGAGCACTCTGTGGGGCATGACTGTCCCAAGGCGTTTGGAAAAAAAGGAAGGCCAAGATGCAGCTCTTGCAGGTCCAGCAGTGACCATGCTTCCTGGGATATGAGAAGGCACCCATACCCTCCTAGAGTAACAGCGATGGCTCCTTCAACTGGAGCGGTCCACGCCGTCCATGTGGCCAGCTACCCCCCCCCCCCCTAATACCTGTTTCGGGTTCCGTACATGTCCCCTTCAAATAACCCAAAGTTGAAAAGCGCGGCAAAGGAAAAAATCTGACGCCAGTGGCTCCCCAATTCCGGGTCATGGTCTCGGCCCATCTTGGGCCCCTGGATGCTTTTCTAAATGTCACCCCCAAGATACAGGTCCGAGCCCGAAATGTTGATAGATAAGCACATGCAGTACCATGGGAAAATTGCAGGGTATCCCGGTATCCCCTTCTTCCCCAGTTGAAATGCCCAGTTCCAACAACCGTATTGCTAAGTGATCACAAGACAAGCTTCCTCCACCACAGTCCGGGGAACTTGTCCTTTTGCAGCCTGCCAGTCTAGGTAGGCCAATTGGTCGAAAGTGCTCCTGCCGTCGAGGTGTCCGAAAGTTCTGGACCCATCCGGTCCAAATACATGCTCCGCAAAGAAAAGGTCTCGAGAGCTGCGACTGAAGAATGTTGACCCAACAAGCTGATTGATTAAGCAGAACCCCTTACTATTTGATAAAGAACCCCTGGTTGATAGATATGGGGGGCGCAACCCCCGTAGTCCGACGGTTTCTGCTAATACGACTAAACAGGCAAAACTTGTCTAAATTCATGAGCCCTACAGCAGGGGTGCAGGGCTCTACGGGAGTATGAATCTCAGTGATGTTCCGTGATGTTTAAGACGTTGCTATTGGCCTACGTACGCTTTGTTGACGCACAAACATTTGAGATGAGATCTCTTCTGTTTGGAAACGATGTTCGTGGAAGAAAAGTCAGCAAGCGAAGTATGAGTCTTTGGGAATGCAATACACTGATTCAGCGACATGCCAAGCTAAACGTGATGTCTATTGCTTCTGAGTCATAATCCGCCAATGCCCGTTCAGTTTGGCTTGAATTTCCTACGGTGCCCAAGCCAACCTTCAAACATTCAATCTGGGCCTTCTGATGGCCGAACTTCTTGCGTTTCGCCCAAAAACCCCCAGTAAGAATCTGCTTTGCCAGCATTGACCTGGATGGTCCAATGAATTCTGCTGCATATGTTGTGGTTGCATATGTGATTCGATTCAGGGCCATACGCGTCAGATGCGAGCCTCATGTTCTTGCCAAGTGCTTGTTGAGTCGCAAGGTGTTGACTCATTGACAACTGAACAAGGGCCCTGTTCAGAAAGGCTAGCGTGGAAGCTAAGAGCCCGCATAACCCCCTGACCCCCTCTCGCTGAGTTCCCAATATTTGCCCCGTAAACATCACCCCATGTTGAAAACCACCAAACAGGTAAACATGTCTCAAGGACGGATCATTGTTCAGCGGGCTTTGTGGGCTCCGGAAGGCCAGCAGTTCTGGATCTGCGCCAACTCGGAAAATGGGTGCGTAACGGGAGACTGGGACGTTCCAAAAAGTGATGCTTACCAAGTCTTAACATTCGAGGTCTTTAGGTAAAAGCTCTGGTATAAAGGATTATATTGGCTTAGATGGGGGGCTTCTCAAAACGGTGGACTCGCTTTTGGGTGGTTTAAAGGGCAACCAAAACGAAACATCTCATCATAGGAGTTGTCCCTATAAGAAAAAGAGGCCAGTGCGAGGCAGGCTGACATCCGAGCCTGTCGGAAAGCATCGGGCAACATGTCGAAGCAACCTGAATGCTGGAGAAATTCGACAGAGAGTGCACCGAACAGAATTTCTTGGATTATCCACTTGAACGACTTACCCCCAGAATGGTCTCAGTTTCCTTGTGGTCTGGTAGAAAGGGTTCACTGCTGCAAACGGTCAAAGCAAGCATCTTTAAAAGAAGGAAAACATACCCCTAGAACAGCAACCCTTTGCTGTGTTGGACCCCTTGGCTAGTTTCCGCAATTATTGATGGTTAATACACTACTAACCAGGGTGTTCGTACTTGGAATTCATACTGAAATTCATACAATGCACAATTGAATTGGATGTTGATTGGAAAAGACAACTCTCGTTTCCTTATGGTAGTTTGGTGAGTACGCATTGTGTTCCCCCTTCAAACAATTCAGTAGATGGCGGCAAATGAATATTGAGCAATGCTCGTATGCGCATCAAAGACACATGAGGAACTGACAAGATTGCTTTGTGTGGGGGAAATAGGCAATTGAGGCCGTCCCCTTCTGAACGCAAAAATGAACGGACTGCTAAGATTGTCAGTTGCTCGCATAGACCTCTTTCCCCCAGGGAAATGTGTCCAGGTATGATTTGTTCAAGGCATGGAGGCCTAAAATACTACCGTTACACCAGCATAGACCCCAGATAGCACCCCCAGAGCACCCGGCCGTCGATCAGCACCTGCACCAACACCCCAAACTGCACGCCCTCTAGCACCCAGCCGTCAATCTCGCAAATCACTTTCCCCTCTTCTTTAGAAGTCAGAACCCCAGCTTTCAGCCATCTGGGAAAAAATGAGTCTGGAAGGCAATTTATTTATATACGTATATACCCGTAAGTGGTGCTGCATTGCTGGAGAAGGGCCTGGGAACAGAAAAGCAACTGCGGTGCCCCATTTTCTCATTCAGCATCTAAAATGTTGATTGTGCACTCGACCATGAAAGCCGTGGATGATGGGAGTTTAGACCAGCAACCACTCAAACGTTGTTCCAAAAGGGATAACCGCTAGTGGTCGGGAGGGACAAGCCGAGGCAAACCCGTACAGTAAATATAAAACGGAGTAGCGTCAATGCAAACTATACTAGTCTCAATCCAATCAAGGAATTCACGGCCTGGCTGAAAAGAGTGAGCATTCTGTCGTAAGTCAATTAATGATCAAGCAAGGAAAAAGCGGAAGGCCCTCACTCGGAAACCAATCGATTCAATCAAGACCAAGGCTCCGCTTTGTGCTTCTCCAAGTACCTTTTCAGGAGGGTCATTTGGAACTGAACCACCGGCGGCGTGAAATGGGTGAAGTCTTCTTGCTTCAATCCCATCTCTGTGATGAGACCACCTGAGATGTCGGCTCCACGAGTTCAGCATGGATTGCTCCAAAAAGCAAGCTAAAAACGATCACTTCTTGTACCTGCCTACATGTTCTTTGATATGTTCACATGTTGCGCAGCACTGTTGACTTTCCTTTCGAAGTTCTGGTCGTCTACCAGTGGTTTCTGGTTTCTCCGTCTCGAGGTTTCGAGCTTGCAAGTGATCGATTATGGATCGGATCTGGAAGACTCACCTTTTTCATTCACAAACACTACCCTGTGATTCCATTTGCCACTAGAGTACGTAAGTAAGACCTAGGGGAGAGAAGTCGGTTTCTACAGTACGTGGATTTGTTTGGCATACATTTGGGTTTGTCTCAACATAGAGCTTCACCCTTTAAAAACTTTCATGGAAGCCAAGGGGGAATCAAAAGGCCACCTGGAAGGGTCCAACTCAATCTGAGCAACACGAACGATTTCAGCTGGATTCTATGGGCAAAGTGCTGGTCCCATGATGGAAGCCATTTGCCCCTGAAAGCAAAAATGCGTGGCAAAGCAACGAGCAAGCTCTTCAACCACCTCCACCTGGATGCTCCTCTGCTTCAAAATGTCATGCACGTGGCTCAGCATGTGAGTCTTTCCAGTACCATGTGGGCCAATGATGCAGAGCCATGGAGGGCGCGGGAAGATCTCTCTCAACTTCGTGTGCAAGTCTTGCAAGCTGCCGTTGTTCCTGGAGCATGCCAAAGGACTAGCTCTCCTATTCCTGTCACTCTCCAAAAACAGGCTCAAAGAATGAGTGCCGAAGATAGTGACTAACCGTTCGAGGGCTGGATTCTCAGCAAGTTGAGAGAAATGATCCACAAAGGGCACTGGGTAATCAACTTCAGTACATGTGAGTTGCCCCATTGGGTTCTCCCCTGCCCATCAACAGTGACCAAAAAAGCACGACGGAAGCCCACTTTTGGGCGGCATTGATTGTTCAAATGTGCATATGTTGAGTAAGTCCGGCAAATGTGCACGAGAAAAAGCAAAAATACACGCAAAAAAACACACAAAACAACCAAGAAAAGCACACACTTAGGCACACAAAAAGAAAATCTCAGAAAAGCACTCAGAAATGCACAAACAAAGGCAAACAAAAACCACAAACAAGAGCACAAAACAAGCACAAAAGAAACAACACAACAAAATAAGACAAAAGAACAAAACACGACACAAAAAAAAAGAGCGACAAATTTGTGGCTTCTGTTGTACGTATGTTTTGCGTGTTTTTGGGTGTTTTTTGCGGGTGTGTGTGTGTGTGTGTGTTGTGTGTTGTGTGTTGTGTGTTGTGTGTTGTGTGTTGTGTGTTGTGTGTTGTGTGTTGTGTGTTGTGTGTTGTGTGTGTGTGTGTTGTGTGTTGTGTGTTGTGTGTTGTGTGTTGTGTGTTGTGTGTTGTGTGTTGTGTGTTGTGTGTTGTGTGTTGTGTGTTGTGTGTTGTGTGTTGTGTGTTGTGTGTTGTGTGTTGTGTGTTGTGTGTTGTGTGTTGTGCGTTGTGTGTTGTGTGTTGTGTGTTGTGTGTTGTGTGTTGTGTGTGTTGTGTGTTGTGTGTTGTGTGTTGTGTGTTGTGTGTTGTGTGTTGTGTGTTGTGTGTTGTGTGTTGTGTGTTGTGTGTTGTGTGTTGTGTGTTGTGTGTGTGTGTTGTGTGTTGTGTGTTGTGTGTTGTGTGTTGTGTGTTGTGTGTTGTGTGTTGTGTGTTGTGTGTTGTGTGTTGTGTGTTGTGTGTTGTGTGTTGTGTGTTGTGTGTTGTGTGTTGTGTGTTGTGTGTTGTGTGTTGTGTGTTGTGTGTTGTGTGTTGTGTGTTGTGTGTTGTGTGTGTTGTGTGTTGTGTGTTGTGTGTTGTGTGTTGTGTGTTGTGTGTTGTGTGTTGTGTGTTGTGTGTTGTGTGTTGTGTGTTGTGTGTGTGTGATGTGTGTTGTGTGTGTGTGTTGTGTGTTGTGTGTTGTGTGTTGTGTGTTGTGTGTTGTGTGTTGTGTGTTGTGTGTTGTGTGTTGTGTGTTGTGTGTTGAGTGTTGAGTGTTGTGTGTTGTGTGTTGTGTGTTGTGTGTTGTGTGTTGTGTGTTGTGTGTTGTGTGTTGTGTGTTGTGTGTTGTGTGTTGTGTGTTGTGTGTTGTGTGTTGTGTGTTGTGTGTTGTGTGTTGTGTGTGTGTGTGTGTGTTGTGTGTAGTGTGTTGTGTGTTGTGTGTTGTGTGTTGTGTGTTGTGTGTTGTGTGTTGTGTGTTGTGTGTTGTGTGTTGTGTGTTGTGTGTTGTGTGTTGTGTGTTGTGTGTTGTGTGTTGTGTGTTGTGTGTTGTGTGTTGTGTGTTGTGTGGTGTGTGTTGTGTGTTTTGTGTTGTGTGTTGTGTGTTGTGTGTTGTGTGTTGTGTGTTGTGTGTTGTGTGTTGTGTGTTGTGTGTTGTGTGTTGTGTGTGGTGTGTTGTGTGTTGTGTGTTGTGTGTTGTGTGTTGTGTGTTGTGTGTTGTGTGTTGTGTGTTGTGTGTTGTGTGTTGTGTGTTGTGTGTTGTGTGTTGTGTGTTGTGTGTTGTGTGTTGTGTGTGGTGTGTTGTGTGTTGTGTGTTGTGCGTTGTGCGTTGTGCGTAGTGCGTTGTGCGTTGTGCGTTGCGCGTTGTGCGTTG